CGGACTGTTTACAGTTCACTGGCAATGACCGTCATTAAAATAATGACACCATTTATTGGCGAGGTCAAATGGCCATTGGGACAGATAGAACGAACCATGGATGTTATTCTCCTCTGGCCGATGTCTGTAAGAAAGAAAAAGAGGTACAATACCCACAAATCAGATTTCCTCATTCGTCTTAACCTCCTCAGCTAAATCAGGTGATTCGTACACTTACATAGCTGAGATTCAGTATTCGCTTGTATTTTTGGTTGCTACGAGTCCTTTGAGTGCCAAGGAACTTTAATCTCCCTATCGGAAAAGCGTCGACCTCACTTCAATTTTTGGGGAGTTCAAAACGCCATAATATGATCTGATTCGCGAGTACCACTCCCTTGCATTAATGTCTCAGAGAGAGAAACTAAGGAGGCGCTGCAGTACCCACAGTAACCAGATTCTTATGAAGTTATAGCCTCTCGGCTAAACATGAAACGACGCTGATTCTTGTGATGGGAAATCATGGATCCTTAGAAATGAGTAGCGCTGGTGGAAACGGAACCTATAGATCTTAGCTACAGATACCGACCAACGCCCATGTTCCAAACCACACCAGACATCTCTATGCCATGCACGTATCAGCTTCCATTTGCTATAGAATTTTCTGTGTGCAGGACGCCGGGAACATCCGTCGAATTGTGGGTACAAAGTAAAAGACTAAAATAGCAACACAGATCAGTACACCACTAGACGTGAAATAATAACTTACGTGATAATGTTCGCAACTCCAAATAACAACAAAACTTCTTCTACTTCTCTTAAACGAAATCATTCAGGTCTCTGAAATCATGTTTTAAGAAAGCGCACGAATCAAATAAAAACATGTAACAGCAAATTTGAATAAAAATGAAACATAGAGACAACGTGGAACAAAACGATGCTTCCGTGTGGCCATCGAATCAATATGCGGCGCAACAGAGAGCAGAAAATTTTTTTAAGGTAGATCTACGGGCATTCCGGAACCATTGGGTAGATGTTTGCCTAATCTTTTTACTAGCTTTATGCCATCGCCATCGACGTGTGCTCTTAAGAAGGAGCCAGCTTTCCACAT